ATGACTTATACATCAGATTCAAGGGGCTTTACAGTCTACATGGTTAAACTAGACAACCTGCTTGGTGAACTAGGCTACAGCTTCACCTTTGAGTAATGTTTGTTTTACTCTGATCTGCCAATAAACGGCACAGCCTTCATGTGAAAGTCATAGTAGCATCTGTTTTCTCCCCAACAGCCGAACACTGGACTCCTGATCTCCAGTGACCTGTGTCACCATGCCAACTCCCACAATCCTCACAGCAACCAGGAGTCCTCAGAGAAGTTGCTAGGTTTACAAGCCCATTTACATCTGTGTGAGCCTACTTAAAGTTGATTCCCTGCAGTACTGAGAGAGAGACCAGGAGGCAGGTAGGGCTGCCTGAGAAAAAGGCAGGGGATGCTACTGTAGCACTAGGGGATGATTAAGTCACATTTTCTGCTCTGTTTTACTGTATTTTCTGTTTCAGAGATGGTTTCCCAACAGGCCCTGCTGATTTTCATGTTGCTGGTGAAGACAGGACTTGTGGGTGGATGTGTGTGTCCAGCAGCCACCATTTTGTCTCAGTTTCCCTCTGAGGTTCCTGCTGACATCTGTTGCTTGAACTACTCTGGCTCTGCTTTCAGCCATGTGCGCTGGTCTGTGTTTACTAATGAAACAAACTTAGAGACACTGGATCTGTCCTTCTGTAATATCAGTTCTATTGATATGAATGGCAAAGAGGCCTCTACCTTGCAGAAGGTTTACTTAGGTCATAATAGACTAACAACGTTGCCAAGGGAGTTTCTAGCCAGCCAGCTCAGCCTGACAGAGGTGGATCTGAGCATGAACCTGATTCAGGAGCTTCCTGCGGGCTTTCTTCAGGACTCTGACAGTCTCCAGAAGCTGGATCTGCAGGGAAACCAGCTACGCTTCCTCCCAGGCTCTGTACTGGAGAAGTCCAGTTTGCTAAGGCTGGAGCTGGATGGGAACCCCTGGGACTGCTCCTGTTTGTTACTGGAAGGCCTGGAGGAAGGCAGGAAGGTTAATAGGACCACTAAGCTGCAGGATCTGGTGGGGAACTTGACCTGCGTCTCTCCCAGACACTTTGCCGGCAGGACTGTGTGGTCGATGAGGCTTAATGAAGTGTGCCGCCCGGCTGGTCTCACTGCACTCTTTATAGTGCTCCCTCTTCTCATCCTCTCTGCCTTGGTGCTCTGCTGGTGCTGTGGGAGGAAGAAGAAAGAAGCACCTATAAGCACCCCCAAAAAGAGAGTTACCAGCTCCAACTGCAATGGCCAGAAGCATCATAGAATGCAGCAGCCTGCAGCCACTGAGCAGAATAAAGCTGGACACTGTGGCAATGAAGGGATCCTGAAGAACCAGCTGCTGCTGCGCCCGGCATCCGCCCTCCTGGGCAGCACCAGGGACATTTATGAAGAGGTGGAGATTAAGCTGGGCTCAGTGGAGTCTCTTCCCCCAGTCTCGTCACACTGTTCCAGCTCCACAGACGGGAAGCAGGGCTCCCAGGAGCCAGACGGGGCCAGCAAGGCAGAGCTGGACACAGTCAGTGTGACAGAAGTGATGAAAGACTCAGCAGACAGGGAGAAGGCTTACCTGACCCAGTCAACTGAATACTACAGCCTGGTGCCAGGTATCGAACTGGAGGACTCGGATCATGGCGAGTATGAAAATGTCGACCTCTCGTGACGGCATCTTAAAGGAATAGTGAAACATTTTGGGAAATACACTTTTGTTTTCTTGATAAGAATTTGATGAGAAAATCTCCACCAATCACATGTTTGTGTGTTAAAAGCCCTTAAAACCTAATTTCTAAATCAACTTCTTACTTTTAGTCATGCGGTCTTACATGAGCGCAAATATTTTTCTGCTTAAGTGAATTCACACAAGAAATTTTTGTATTTGTGTTGTTATCTGTGCTCTTCTCACTAGTCTGAACCAAACCCACACAGCCCTGATTAAGCACAGTGGTTGAGTTTTTGTCTGTTAAAAAACACATAAGGATATTTTTTTAACTTAAAATTTGATTGTTGTTTTGAAACCAAGTTTTCAGGGTTTTATGTACGAAGCTGGAGCCAGAGCAGGGGGAAGCAGGGGGAAGCAGGGGGAAACAGCTAGCCTGGTTCAATCCAACTTAGAAATCATGCCTACATACACCCTTTAAAGGTCGGCTTGGTGACAAAGTGACTGCTTGCGAGGCTAGTTGGAAAACTAGCTGGTGAACTAACTGCTAACACAAAAGCTAGCTCTAGTCAGTCACAATACCTGTCTTCTTCTGTAGTGGGTTGTTCTCTTCATCATTTAATTGAGTAAAGACAATTCTCTGAACGGCAGGAACTAGCTTGCTAAGAGAGTCATTGTGCAAGTTCATGAGCTGGGTCGCTAACAGGACAATATGTGTTTCTTATGTATTTGTACCATTGAGACCTGTCTCATAACTGTCTCTTTTGTACACTGACAGAGGAGGTTGAATAAAAATGTTTAGCGCAACACAGCTAGTAAGCTAGGATAGCGTCCTCCATTTTGGAGTCAGAGGTCAGAACTGTTAAGGTAGGTATTGTTCACCTAACTGAACGAGACTGTAGCGATTCCATTTAAATCCTTTAGTGTCTGTGGGCTGATTTTTAACTTTCTCATTGCCTCCAGTCTTAATGCTAAGCCAGCCTCACCTTCTGGGTCCAGGTCCATTAACTCACAAATGAGTATCACTTCATCAAACTCTCGGCAAGAAAAAAGTGTTTCCTAAAATGTCAAATTATTCCTTTAAATGCACTAAATAGAAACAGTTTATGTGTGTGTGTTACAGAAAAAAGCAAGTTATATAATGACACAAAGACAGCCTGGTCTGACCACTGTAGTATCACAATGTAAGAGGAAGTGATTTAATCCAGACCTTTTCCTGTGGGACCTGAGGAACGCAGTGATGGTTTGAAAGGGAGGCCCCATATTTGCTCTGGAAGAAAATTGCAAGGCACAAAGACATTTATTCTATTTAATGCTACTCTTCATGTTGTTTTCATGTCTATTACAAAGAGCATGACATATGTTTATATGTCTATGTTTAATTACTGTAGGTCAACCAAGCTTTTGTATTTACTTTACCTCACCCAAGTGTGATTGTTATATGCATTCCAGTTGGACTTAGGTGTTATACTGCAAACAGGATGTTCCGTCACCTTTAGCTGCACATTCATGTAGGTGCTAAATAGTGACTAATCCCTCACATTTAATTCAGTGTGAAATGTGGAATGTAAAGCTTAGACAAGATGTCTAAATTTATGTCTTTATTAAGCAAGGATAAAAGGACAGATGCTTGCTTATGCTTTACGTCACATACAAAAATGTGCATTTATATTGGTAAATGGCAGACTGGTCAGCTCTAAACGCTGTTGAATTCTAGTTTAAGATGGAAATATCTGTAGTGCCGGGTCTAGTAAAGTGAGATTACCAGCATTTCTGTGCAGTGGTGCTACAATAAAATAACACTGGAGAGGACATGTACACAAAAGACAACACTGAATATCATGGTCATGGTGGAGGTGCAGACACTCCATTGTTACCAAAGATGTGGAAAAGAGACAGACGTCCAACTCTCACACTTGCTGGCTCTGAATACTAATTGGTTTGTGTTCAGTAGAGAGACAAAGGGAGTGGGTGCAGCTAAGGGTGTGGAACTTCCTGGAATTTAAAAAACGGAGGTGTGTTTCCCAGACGGATTTTCACGTATTTTCCATCAAAGCTTTATTTATGAACAGTGAAAAAGAAAAACAGAGAAATGACTGAATGTTGCATTTTGTAATTTTGTACAATTTCTGCACAGAAATATAACATTTCATTGTAAACAGGGCCATAGCCCTGAGTCACTGAAGTCATGTATTTTCTTTTAAATGTATTTATTTTTAGGATACACATAGGAACAGTGACAGATTTCACATACTTCTTTGCGATTTTTGAAACTGTGGGCTGACAAAAGCAGGCTTTTTATTCTGGCAACTTTGCAGGCTGAAACTACGTCACTGTTGGATTTTTATCAACTTAAGCTAGCTAGGTTAGCTGATTAAGCTAACAACATTAATTGGTTAAAACAACTCTCTCAGGCTGACTTTTTATTGTTTCCAGAACACTTTTTAAACTGAGATTTGTATAAAAGGGTCTTGAATATGCACTTGATAGCTACATAAATTAAATAATGCAACAATAAAAAATAAGGCTAAAGCTACAAATGTCCCTGGCAGAAAGACAATGTTAGCTCACATACTTAAGCATAATGTAGTAAGTTAATGATGTGCTCTTTGCCTTGGAAGAAACGCTTGGTATTTAGCTTACTTTATAGCCAGGAATGGCAACGATTAAGGCGTAGGCCTACATTAGAGCAGATAAACACACTGGTTTTTCCTGTATACTTTTGTTCTTTTTTAATTTTGGAAAGGCTAAAAAAGGGTACACCACACACTATAGCACCATTATTATCCAAAATTTGACAGGCCTGCAGTGTCTATAATGGTAGCTATGCTATGATGGTGCACTGGATGGGTTTAGCAAATAGTTTATTAAAACCTTGTACATAGCGGGTATTTAAAATTTCAGTCTTGAATATTTTTAAATGCATCTACTTTCAGGCCAGCAAATAATAAATAAATAACAAATAATTCATTTGAACCAGAATTTCATTCCTGCCAGTATAGAAAAGGTGAGTGTGTACGTTTCAAGTGAAATTAGGCCTTATGGAGTGTTTGATGGCAGTGTATCTTGTCAGAAATGGTTAAACTGCTACAGTAACAGCTACTAAATTACAGTACAGTAGCATTAATAATCATTCTGTTACAATACAATGTGTTACTGCTATGATACTTAATAAAAGCACTGATTTTTGTCATTATATTTTTTTGGTATGCAAAACGTTTGAATATTGTTGAAAAAATTTATGCTTTTTTCAAGTATTTTGCCTAAGGATGATGATCATGAAGACTAACACCATAAACAAGAGAGGAATTCAAGCTCTTTCTGTTACCTCTCAGCTCTTTCTGCCCCGACAATGACCCAGACCAGCCCCAGCTACCTGAAATCCCACTTTTCTTTTGAGCTCTAATTTCACTCACTGTGGGAAGTTGTAATTGCCGCATTGGGTTACCCAAAAGATCAGTAGTGAGCTGCTCACTCTGTCTTTCAGGCCTGAGCCCCAACCAGTAGATCCAGTAGCTGAGGCCAGGAAATGGCTGTGCAGGAACAGTTGTTGGAGTATCCATTGATGCAAATTTGGGAGTGTATTTCATCTAGCTCACAGACCAACCTCTGACTCCAGATTTACACAGGATGGTGATACAAACATAAAAGTGGAAAGTCCTTGTGATATAAAAATATATTGCTGTGCCATATTTAAGTACAAAAATAAAAAATCATGGCAGCTAAACAAGAGACATCTCAGAAAAAGTATGCTGTACTAAAAGCTGATAGTTTCGTAGATAATGAGCATTAAAACTACTTACTTACACAGCATTAAACATGTTTGATGCCCTTTTAATGTTTTCTGTAAATAAAAGAGCCTTTGGGTGTCTTTGTTTATGAGGTAAACAGACAGTGAGGCCGCAGGGCTGAGGCTGAGCGCGCTGCTGCATATTAACAGAGCACCATCTAGTGACAGGAATGGAAACTACCATATATCAACCAAACAAACATGAGTACTTTAGTATGATGATGAATACATGATACTATGGGTAATAGATGCAATGATTTTAAACATCCAGACAGTGTGAGGCTCATGAGTCTACTGCGGTTGCATGAGTGACACAGATTCAGACAAAGAAAAGGGAAGTCCGCGGTGATCACTTGACAGGCTCTGATGGAGGACATGCATGGCCTAATAAAGATCCTGTCAGGGGAGAGCAAACAGCGTCAGAGGATAAACCATGACTGGAAAAAAGAGTCTGATTTACAATAGACAGTTGTAACGATGTGAAAAGCAAACAAGTAAGCAGAGCTTAGCAGCCAATGACAAAGGCTGAGATATGTGTGGGATGGACCCATCTGACTGTCTGTCTGCATCACTCTGCTCAGGCTGCTGTTATCACTGATGGCTAGAACAGTAAATAACACTGAAAAGCCTCTATTGTGCAATCAGTCTGTGTCTATGTTTTTTCTATGGCGGGGCATTAGATTCTCTTCTATGACAAGTCCAAAGTACTGACCTGATTTTGATAGCATCTGGAAAAGACATGCTTACAGAAATAGCGTTTAGAAACATGTTAATATCAAAATATCGTTTTTTACCCACCAAATATCAACACAACCTAACACAATTGAACCAGGGAAGGACTACAATGAGACTAAAAAGTGAAGAAAGCAGGACCACATAGAACATCAAACAGAGGTTCCAAAACAAATAACATAGAGAAATTTGGTGAAATATAAAGAGAATAATCAAGATTCATATAGCACATGAGCCCAAAGGGGTAAAAAACAGTAATAAATATGCCATAACAACTTAAATAAAAACATACACTGTTGATCGCAATGTATCCCAAATTCCAAATAATTCCAAATAACCAGTTTATAAACACTGACAGCCAGACCAGCTTTCCTCAAATTAAAAGAGAATGGATTTAAAAGCTTGTAAAGAAGTAACCATTCTTCAGAGATCTACATCAAATTAAATGTTGTCCTGGACTTGAGTCCCTGAGCTATAATTCTTTTCCTATGACCTCTGAAAATACAGAAAGTGTATTTTTACACTGAAATGCATGAAAAGCAAACTATAATTTTTGCTCCTGAGAGCATAAAAAGCAACACTGCATGGGGCTGAAACAATAAGAGTAACAATCAAATAGTAAACCAACAGAAAATAAATCTGCAACTATTTAATAAATGTTTCTTATTTACATACATATTTTTATTGTAATCCTTATTTTATAACATATTCAATTTGGGTAAATGTGTATTTATGTGTGTGTGCAGGTTGGTTTATGTATGTATGAAATGTGACGTATGTTTTTCTTTTTCTTTTTTCTGCTTATTCGTTTTTTAAATATTCTCAGGTTTTAATAAGTACTATATATAAACGTATGTATAATCTATTATTGATGACTTGTTCTTGCTCTATTTTTGTTTTATTTTATTCTTTCAGCTTGTGACTGGGGTTTTTCATTATTTCCTGACATTTTGTAGATGAAACAATTTATGAAAATGATCTGCAGATTAAGTATTAATGAAAATATTTGTTATATCCACAACCATCAGGGTTAAATTGATGATTTTGGATATTTACAGAGCCTCATCGGCTCTGTGAGAACACACAAACTGTCTGATCAACTTTAATCAACTCAAAAGGAATGTCGGTGAACAATAATCAATACACTGGGGAACTGCTGTGACGAAAAACACACGGCATACTTTATTAAACGTTGTTTCCCTGTGCTCAGTTACTGTAGGTGTGTATCTCTTGGGCTTCAGGTTCCCAGGTAATAAATTTAAAATGTTAATTTATGACAGCACAGTAGAGAGGTTTAAATTGAGACAGAGAGGAAGAACTCTTCTTCTCAGGACAGCGGGATTCAGCACAGGAACAGGTGATACGCCTGCCTTCATAGGTAAGACACATTTTTTGGTGTTGTTATATCATGATTAGAGAAATTAATTACAACATGAATTTGTGATATTTTGCAGGACTTTTCTGCTGTTACAACACACAATAAAACCCAGACATGACAGTTTCTTACACACTTGAAGTGGCCAATGCGAGATTTGGCGGCTTCTCCAAGCTCCTGTTCAGGTGGAAGGGAAGCATTTACAGGCTGCTTTACAAAGAGCTTCTGGTATTTTGTGCAGTTTATCTGTTTTTCAGTTTGTTTTACAGGTAAATTAACTTCATTAATTCTCCCGTTTGCTGCAGTATAATCAAGTGTTTGTGGTCATCAGTGGAAGTTTTATTATCTTCACAGGTTTATGCTCACACCAAAGCAGCAGGATCTGTTTGAGCGCATTGCCCTTTACTGTGATCAGTTCACCAACACCAACTTCATCCCAGTTTTGTTTGTTCTGGGTGAGTCTGATTGAACTGGCTCTGTCTTACAGCAGGCCAAATCTGAAGATAAGTCTCCATAGTTAATACTTTTTTGTTCCAGGTTTCTATGTGAGCCAGGCCTTTAATCGATGGTGGGGTCAGTACACCAGCTTCCCGCTGCCTGATAACCTGATGATGGTGGTATCTGGGAACGTCCACGGGGCAGACGAGAGGGGTCGTCTGCTGCGACGAACACTCATGAGATATGCCAACTTATCTTCAGTTCTTATTCTCCGCTCCATAAGCACAAGAGTTCACAAGCGTTTTCCAAGTTTGGAGCACATTGTGGAGGCTGGTAAGAACAACAGTGGAGAGGAATGAAGGACAAAATGCAGTTCGTTAAAATATGAGACAATCTACCCAGCAAAAAAGATGAAGCAGTTCAACCAGCTGCTATTAAGATCTAATTCAGAGACAATTAAACACAACACACAACACAACAATTAATAGATTTTTGCCTGTTTATAGCCTGCCTAGTAGATAAGATCAGATGTATGTTTATTGATAGGGGAAAATTCAAATTCAGTATACTGAAGTAATCAGTGGTTTAAAATAATTTGCGTTTCAATTACTTATCATTCCATATTTGTACTGTTGCTTAAGTAAAAGATGTTGTTGAATGTTTCTTTCTCCTCTGGTTAAGTAAGTGCCTGACCTTTTGATTTTTTGGTTTTGATTTTTTGTGGAGTGGACTTTATACCTTTTTCACATTTGCTAATGCAGCACTTTTCAAAACAATGTTACAAAAAGCTTTACATGGTTGAACCAGGATTAAAGCATTATAGGAGGCAAATTAAATAATATAAAATAAAAATAATAATATTATTAACAGATAAGGCATGTTAGAAATAATAACAGAATGAATAAAACGCTTTTTTTAAAAGACATATTTTGAGAAGTGATTTAAACGTGTTTCTGCAGCCTCAGATCTTCAGGCAGGGAGTTCCAGAGCTGAGGGGTTTAGCAACAGTCAGCAGCAATAATCATATTTTATAATATTATAAAATTTTAATTAAAGGAATTATAAAATTCCTTGGATCACAAAAATGTATTACATCCATGAATGTGGTACCAAACTGATTCATCTCTGTGCAGGATTTATGACAACACACGAGCTGAAGAAGTTTGAGTCGCTGCACTCTGATTTCAACAAGTACTGGATGCCTCTGACTTGGTTCTCAAACCTGGCATCCAGAGCAAGAGAGGAGGGTCGAGTGAGGGATGACATCGCTTTGAGACTGCTGATGGATGTGAGTGGGTTTTTTCCCTGCACACTGACAGAACAACAATACTTTACACTTACCATGTAAACAACGTGGGAATGAGAAATGTAAGCATTCACTTTAAATCCTGAATGCACCATCTGCAGCCCCAGTATTTCTACACATTCTGTATAACTTATATTTACATTACAAATGTGTATAACTGCAGGAGCTGAATAACTACAGAGCCAAGTGCAGCCTCCTGTTCCACTATGACTGGATAAGCATCCCTTTAGTCTACACTCAGGTACAGTCAGGAGCCTGAAGGGTATAACAAGATCAACAAAATGTACTTTGACTTAATTTAATGGTCATTTCTCTTCTTTAGCATTATATATTGTTTGAAATGCAGCCACACATTTTACACAAAATGCATCCAAAATTCATAACAAACCTGACTTGATCACCGCCTTGTGTTTTATCTGTGCAGGTAGTCACTATAGCAGTTTACTCTTTTTTTGCCTTCTGTGTGATTGGCCGACAATTTCTGAACCCTGAGAAAGGATACAAGGATCATAAAATTGACATGTACGTCCCTGTTTTCACCCTGATGCAGTTCTTCTTCTACACTGGCTGGCTCAAGGTAAGATGAAAACACATTCATGTTTCACATGTAGAAAAACAGATGTTGTTTTGATCTTGTCATTATGTGTTTCCACTCTGTAGGTGGGGGAGCTGATCATCAATCCGTTTGGCGAGGACGATGATGACTTTGAAACCAACCAGCTGATTGACCGAAACATTCAGGTTGAACCCCCCCCAACCCTCCCCCACTCTAAACACTCTAAACTCTCTAAACTCTAAACACCTGAAATGATTGCTAACTGTCATTTTAATTCTGTTTTTCTCTACTGTAGGTGTCAATGCTGGCTGTAGATGACATGTACCAGAATCTGGCTCCAATTGTGAAGGACAAGCACTGGGCGCAGAGAAATTTCACCGTCCCTTACACTCTGGCAACAGCAGCAGAGACTCACAAACCGGCCTTCAAAGGCTCCACCTTTGACATGAGGTAAACTAATTATACCTTTTAATTTTTAGTACCTTTTGTTGCTGCTGCATAGTCCAGTAAAATGACAACCACTGCCAAGACTTGAACTTAAAATGTTGCCCATATTTGCAGGATGAGTGCTGAGGATCTTGAGATTACCCAGGCTGCTGACACTCCTGGAGAGAAACAGTGTTTCCCTCTTAAGGGCTCTCTGGGCGATGGTCTCGACAGTCTTCTGCAGAGGGGCAAAGGCATCCTGCGTGGTGGGAGCCTCCCTTCTATGATGGATGTCTTGTCACATCCTAATGAGGAAGATGATGCTGAGGGTGACATCAATGCCACCAACCACAAAGAACAAGAAAAGGCACTGATTAAAGTTGCAGTGGAACACAACTAGAGAAAAAAAATTTTTTAACCAAGAATGCTTTAACATATTTTTGATTTGACACAGCTAAATTAATTTGTGAAATAAAACATTCTTGTTCTTACTATGTATGTTGGAAAATTAGTGTTATTAATTCAGTGCTATGACTAAGAGTACACTTTTTGAGTGCCTTAAAATGATTCTTTGCCCTGTGTAGTCCAGTGATTCATCATTAATTTTAATCCCTCTAATTTATATGTCAAAAACACAGTAGTCCCCCAAGACATAACAGCAGATACATTGGTTCAGGGGTGCAGTCATACATTTTTATGTCATTACATTTTATCTGCAAGAGTTTAGTTTTATCTACAAAATGCACTTCAAGTATCAAAAGTAAACATACTTATCATATTCATAGCGATATAATTATATATCATATATTTTTGGATTATCAGTACTGATGCGACACTCTTAAACCTACATAGACAAAGAAAAGCTGGAACAGTTTTATATTTTTGCCGATTCTGAGCTTATTGTTTCAGTCAGTATCAATACATCACATGATTCAGGGCCCCTTACCTCTTCTTTCCGGGGAGGTGATGGCGCAATGGAGAAGCCACATGCCTTTGGTGTGAGAGACCTGGGTTCGATTCCCACTGTGACCCATCCACCGTTGTGTCCCTGAGCAAGACACTTAACCCCTAGTTGCTACAGATGCGTGCGACCTCTGACATGTACAGCAATTGTAAATTGCTTTGGGATCAGTGTCAGATAAATGTAATGTCTTTCTGGTGCACTGCACAGAAAAAAAAACTTGAGTACCTCCATAGTCAACCAAGGAATAATATTTTTTTTCAATGTGAAAAGTTTTATTTAGGTGTTTTGGAGTTTCATTTGAAGTTTGGTGCAGATGCACATAATCTTCATTAAGTTACAACCATTTGCTGGATATTTTCCTGGGTGTTTTTTAGTGGACAATGTGACAATATATACATTTTTGTGCTATCTTCATATTTTGGTAAATATCACCTCTGAGAGTAAGTATCCTGCATCCTTTGGTGGCGGTACCGACCCTGTCCTATGGTGTCCTTTGAAGCCCCGTCAGGCTCCTCCTCATCCACCCCACTGGTCCTTATGCAGATCGGAAAACAATCTGCTCCTCTGTTTTGAGGTGGGCCAATCCCATAACACTCCAGACAGCCCAGCAACCAGCTCCTCCATGAACTTTAGGTAAGCAATGGGCTTCATGTTTGCTGTTGAATAGTGCTCATTGTATAGTTGTTGTTTGTTGCAGCTATATACTATAAAGTGGTACAGAAGGGTTCTGTACCACTTGATGGTGCTACTGTGCATGGAATAATCGGCACTTAACTGTCAGAAGTCAGTCACAGCATCAGGTACTGCGATGACCTTCTTTCATTTTCCAGTCTCCTTGTCCTTTATATTCCTCGTCCCAGTCTGACCACTGAATGCTTTGTGGGTGGTGGAGCACACTGAGGCCTCTCTGGTGTCCATCTATTTGATGTACAGCAGCTCCTGGTCCCGGACCCATTTGATAGAACCCCGGGTGCATTTACTTTTCTTCTTGGGTTATCTTTTCAAGTGTCCTTGTAAGTGCGCCATACAACATAGCCCAATTCATAACGGTCTCTGAACACTTTCAGGCTTTTATAATAGTTGTTTTATAATAGAAGTCGTGTGACTCATAATGAGTGATATAAACATATTGTAAGAAAGTCCTTGTGCTAAAGTGAACTTGCCTACCTGTGTAAATTATAAAGTCAGTGGTGTAGCCATCGCTGAAGTCAGCCAGCACAGAAAGCCCATTTGAACTTTCTATTCTTTGAGAAAGAAAAGGCTTTGCAGAGACAACTTGCACCTGATGCAAGATATGTATATATATATGGAAAATGAAGTACTAGTTCCTCATAAATATAAATGGGGCCTAGCTACTTATCCTGCACCTCTGCATGGTATATAGGGCTCATGCAAACTGCAGTGTGCATGGGTGGTATGCCTTTTTCATATAAGGCTTTTATTTGAATCCACGTGGCCTGCCTGTAACGTTACCACCAAAAATAAAACAAAATCTGTCTCTTATTCCGCACACTCAAATTACTTTTTTTACTGGTGAAATTCAAGTCCTAATACAAGGGGTAGGCCTAGTACAAACCTGTCAGATAATACAAGGTGGTGTTTTAAACATTTGTAATAAAGGATTAATGACTTTTATTTTGAAGTACAACTGACGAAGGCCCGAGAGGGTCAAAAGTCTCTTATGCGCTTCCGCGTTGTGAGATGGAAGAAATCCACACCGATAGACGAGTTCCACATTAAATATACTTGTCTATAGTAAGGGTATGTTGTCTTTGTTTGTAGACATGACTTTTCTTTTTAACTCATTAAACAATTTTCTGTCCTTCTGAATAAAATTAACGCGACTAGCCAAACGGTTCTGATTCTAGATAATAGCTAGCTAGCTTGCTAATGTTAGCCTACTCTCATGGTTTAGAGGGAGTCGATACTTTTCTGTGATGTGTCAGCGGACTTTTGTCGCTGATTAGCAGATTTTTATTACCTCTTAGACTCTGTACACATATAATAATGGACCTGGAAATCAAATACATTAACGGGATGTGGATGTTGTGTATTGCATTCTCTGTTTCTCAAGAATATTCGGTTTTGTTTGGTTTCTTTGACAGGAGCATCCCCTCGCAACCAGGCAGGAAAACAGGACAGTGGTGTAATGTCAGTTGACGCCCCCGTGCTGCTTAGCTGCTGACTGTCACCTCCACCATCGGCATCAAAAACATGTCTCTGGGCGACAATCCTCACCTGCTGCTCGGCAGGATACGCTTTCTGAACAGGTGCATCGAGTGTTTCAAGAGGGGCGAGTCGATGCCGGAGTGTCTGTGTTATGTCCCCAAAGAGGTGTGCTACAAAATCTGCAAGGATTCGTCATCCACCTCCTCCGCCTCCTGCGGCGCGTCTGCAGGAGGCTCCACCGTCGGGAAAACGCTCGTCTCCGTCTTTGAGAGTCCACACCAGACTACACACATTAAGAAAATGTGCAAGTACAACATTGAACCAAAGAAAGGGACTTGTATCCGGACAACAGGGGAAGAATACTGTAACAGCCAGGGCCTTTGGGTCAAACTCAATAAGGTAAGCTTCTGTCTCTCTATCATCTCAATAGAGTTCATCTCACAGCAGGAAGGTCCTGGGTTCCCAAATCAGAACTGGCCAGCTTCGTTCGGCCTTTCCGTGTTGAGTTTGACATTCTGAACACTTGAAATATGGTGTAAAGTTAATAACTAAGGGTTAAATTTTGACACCCGAGTATTTTGTTAAATGGACAGGATGTGTAGAGCTTTTAGGATTTGTCTGTCACTGACGGAGTCAGAGCTACCAGACAAGGTTCTGGCCTGCTCATCAGGAGCAATGTGAGTTCAGTGTTTGGCTCAGGGACACTTTGACATGTGAACTTAAGAAGCCAGTGTTCAAACCACCAACCCTGTGATTAATGGATGACCCGCTGGACCTCCTGTCAAGTCCTTCTACACAACATGACATGTTATATTCAAATGCCTTAACAGACATCATGATGTCAATGACATCAGGAGAAGAGGCTTTTATGTTCATTGCACAAACCTACTGGTCCCTCATACGCTAGGTTGGTTTTATTGCCTATCAATTGAGTTTTCACGGTTCATGTCTGTGTCCAGGAGCAGCTGGAGGAGCACCGTCCGGGCCTGGAGCTGGAGGAAGGCTGGATCCTGGTGTGTAAACACACAGAGGGAGGCGACAGGCTGGTGCCGGTGGAGTCACCAGAGACCATCAGCAGACAACAGCAGCTCTTCGGCTACGACCACAAGCCCTGCAACAGGTGGGAGCAGGTGGTAAATGTGGAGAACGCCCTTTACATCGGCACCAAACCCAAAATTGCAGAGTGTGATGAAGCTGCCATCCAGAAACTACGGTGAGCATGTTTGTGAGAGTTTTGTGAGAGTCAAGACTTTTTGGACAGCAGTAGATTGTCAAATTAAGCTGTTTTCCCCTTAAATCCTCAAGGTATGTTCCTCCCACCTGGGCTTACGAATGTGACGAGGACCTGGTGCACTACTTCTATGACCACATAGGGAAAGAAGATGAGAACCTGGGGAGCGTGAAGCAGTGTGTGACCAGCATCGATGTTTCTTCATGTTCGGTGAGTCACAGATACCCAGAACAGTCTAAAACAGCCAGTCCTTACAAAAAACAGGCAAAGTTATCTGTTTTTTTCCCCCCCGGATTATAGATTCAATAAAAATAGTACATATTGGTTGTTACTAGGCATGGGAGGCGTCTTTGGATCGATACAGTATTGCCACAGAAAATATCACGATACTATGCTTTACCGATTTTTTCCCCCACCCCTAGTTGTTACGTTGAGTGGCATGACCTTGTATAAAACCTGTACATATGTACACATTTGTCGGTGATCGAATTACCTTGATATTTGCTGATAGGAGGACCCCAGTGGAGGGGCGAGCTGTCTGACGGATGGAGACACTGAAACTTTCTGGGAGAGCGACGGCATGCAGGGACAACACTGGATCCGCCTGCACATGAGGAGAGGCACGGTGGTCAAGTAAGGAGCTGCTCAGCAACAAAGTTGATTTAAAAAAAACAAGAAATAAACGCCAACTTTAGTTTGTGCAGATTACATTCATATGAGTCATATGAGTGCCAGTAATGCAGAGTATGTTGTAATTGTCATTTTACAAAATGAATTATTTATTTATTATTTATTTATTCTGATCAGTTTCTCTACAGTCACATGTTGGATGTGGCTTTTGTTGAGCTACTCATTAACATACGACTGTGTATGCGATGCAACACCAAACCTTTGCTGTATTAAGTGTAGTATGTATACTGTGCCTCTCTTTGCTCTCCAGTAAGCTGATATTGACGGTGGACTCTACAGACGACAACTACATGCCCAAGCGAGTGACCGTGTATGGAGGAGAGGGCGACAACCTGAAGAAGCTGAGTGATGTCACCATAGACGAGTGAGCCTTTTGAAAAGGACTTTGTCACACAAAACTCATTGCTTTGGGCGCCTTGTTAGAGCTGTCACTGTCAATAAA